ACCCAAAATCACCCCAAAAACACCCCAAATCACCCTTAAATGACCCAAAACACCCAAACTCACCCCTAAATGACCCCAAATCACCCCAAAATCACCCCAAAACTGACACAAACCGGCCCAAAATCCCCCAAATAACCCCAAAATCACCCAAAATCAGCCAAAATCACCCCAAAACCGGCACAAACTGGCCCAAAATCCCCCAAATAACCCCAAAATCACCCAAAATCACCCCTAAATGACCCCAAAACACCCCAAAACTGGCACAAACCGGCCTAAAAATGGCACAAAACACCCCAAAATCACCCCAAATCACCCCTAAATCACCCAAAATCAGCCAAAATCACCCCAGAAATGGCACAAATTGACCCAAAACCACCCAAAATCACCCCAAAAACACCCCTAAATGACACAAAAACACCCCAAAAAACACCCTAAACACCCTAAAAACCCTAGAAACACCCAAAATCACCCAAAACCACCCAAAATTACCCCAAAATCATCCCAAAACCACCCGAAATCACCCCAAAATGACCCTAAACACCTCAAAATCACCCCAAAACCCAGCCCCGATTCCCAGTTCCCCATTTTGGGGTCAGAATTCCCAATTTTGGGTGACAATTCCCAATTTTGGGTGACAATTCCGGGTTTTTGGGTCACAATTCCCGGTTTTTGTGTGAGAATTCCCAATTTTGGGTGACAATTCCCGGATTTTGGGTGACAGTTCCCGATTTTGGGTGACAATTCCCGGTTTTTGGGTCACAATTCCCGGTTTTGGGTGACAATTCCCAATTTTGGGTCAGAATTCCCAATTTTTGGGCCACAATTCTCAATTTTGGGTGAGAATTCCCAGTTTTTGGGCCACAATTCCCAATTTTGGGTCAGAATTCCGGGTTTTTGGGTGACAATTCCCGATTTTGGGTGCCAATTCCGGGTTTTTGGGTGACCATTCCCGGTTTTTGGGTGACAATTCCCGATTCTGGGTGACAATTCTGGGTTTTTGGGTGACAATTCCCGGTTTTTGGTGACAATTCCCAATTTTGGGTGACAATTCCCAATTATTGGGTCACAATTCCAGGTTTTCGGGTGACAATTCCCAATTTTGGGTGACAATTCCCAGATTTTGGGTGACAATTCCCAATTTTGGGTGACAATTCCCGGTTTTCGGGTGACAATTCCCGGTTTTTTGGTGACAATTCCCATTTTTGGGTGACAATTCCCAATTTTGGGTGACAATTCCCAATTTTGGGTCACAATTCCCAGATTTTGGGTGACAATTCTGGGTTTTTGGGTGACAATTCCCGGTTTTTGGGTGACAATTCCGGGTTTTTGGGCTCACTCTGTTTTTGGGGAGGCGGCTCCAGCCCCTCCCCCCCCTCTCTCCTCTTCTTCCGTCGCTGCTGCGGGAATCGCCCGGGCGGCCTGCGGGAAAACACGGAATGCAGGAATCGGGAACGGAGCCTGGGCTGGGGGAAAACACGGAATGCAGGAATCCGGAACGGAGCCCGGCCTGCGGGAAAACACGGAATGCAGGAATCGGGAACGGAGCCTGCGGGAAAACACGGAATGCAGGAATCCGGAATGGAGCCTGCGGGAAAACACGGAATGCAGGAATCGGGAACGGAGCCCGGCCTGCGGGAAAACACGGAATGCAGGAATCGGGAACGGAGCCCGGGGGAAAACACGGAATGCAGGAATCGGGAACGGAGCCTGGGGGAAAACACGGAATGCAGGAATCCGGAACGGAGCCTGCGGGAAAACACGGAATGCAGGAATCGGGAATGGAGCCTGCGGGAAAACACGGAATGCAGGAATCGGGAATGGAGCCCAGGGGAAAACACGGAATGCAGGAATCCGGAACGGAGCCTGCGGGAAAACACGGAATGCAGGAATCGGGAACGGAGCCTGGGGGAAAACACGGAATGCAGGAATCGGGAACGGAGCCCGGCCTGGGGGAAAACACGGAATGCAGGAATCGGGAACGGAGCCTGCGGGAAAACACGGAATGCAGGAATCGGGAACGGAGCCTGCGGGAAAACACGGAATGCAGGAATCGGGAACGGAGCCCGGGAGCTCGGGGAACTTGGGGGAAATTTGGGGAATTTGGGGAATTTGGGGAATTTTGGGAATTTCAGGGGAATTTTGGGGGAATTTTAGGGGAATTTTAGGGAATTTTTAGGGAATTTTTTGGGAATTTTGGGGGAATTTTTGGGAATTTCATGGGAATTTGGGGAATTTCAGGGGAATTTTGGGAATTTTTGGGAATTTTAGGTGAATTTTGGGAATTTCAGGGGAATTTTTGGGAATTTCAGGGGAATTTTAGGGGAATTTTGGGAATTTTTTGAATTTTGAGGGAATTTTGAGGGAATTTTAGGGAGATTTGGGGAGAAATTTGGGGGAAATTTTGAGAATTGGGGGGATTTGTGGAATTTCTGGGACTTTGGGGATGATTTGGGGGGAATTTGGGGGAAATTTGGGAATTTTAGGGAGATTTGGGGAAGATTTGGGGAGAATTTGTGGGAATTTTGGGGGAATTTTGAGAATTTTAGGGAGATTTGGGGGGAATTTTGGGAATTGCTGGGAATTTTGGGGGAATTTGGGGTAATTTTAGGGAATTTTAGGGGGATTTGGGGGGGATTTGTGGAATTTCTGGGAATTTTAGGGAGAATTGGGGGGAATTTTGGGAATTTGGGGGGAATTTTGGGGGAATTTTGGGGGAATTTTTGGGGGAATTTCAGGGGAATTTTGGGAATTTTGGGGAGAATTTTGGGAATTTTAGGGGAATTTTGTGGGAATTTTGTGGGAACTTTTGGGAATTTTTGGGGAATTTTGGGAATTTTGGGGGAATTTTGGGAATTTTTGGGGAATTTTGGGAATTTTGGGGGAATTTTGGGAATTTTGTGGAAATTTCAGGGGAATTTTGGGAATTTTTGGGAATTTCAGGGGAATTTTGGGGGAATTTTAGGGAATTTTGAGAATTTTAGGGGGAATTTTTGGGAATTTTGGGGGAATTTGGGGAATTTCAGGGAAATTTTGGGAATTTTGGGAGGAATTCTTGGGAATTTCGGGGGAATTTAGGGAACTTTGGTGGAATTTTTGGGAATTTTAGGGGTTTTGGGAATTTTAGGGAGATTTTGGGGGAATTTTGGGAATTTGGGGGAATTCTGGGAATTTTGGGAATTTTGGGGGAATTCTGGGAATTTTAGGGAAATTTTGGGAATTTCAGGGGAATTTTTGGGAATTTTAGGGAATTTTGTGGGAATTTTGTGGGAATTTGGGGGAATTCTTGGGGAATTTTTGGGGAATTTGGGAATTGGGGAATTTTGGGGGAATTTTGGGAATTTCAGGGGAATTTTGGGGGAATTTTGGGAATTTTGGGGGAATTTTGAGGGAATTTTGGGGGAATTTTGGGAGTTTTTGGGAATTTCAGGGAATTTTGAGGGAATTTTGAGGGAATTTCAGGGGAATTTTGGGAATTTTTTGGAATTTCAGGGAATTTTGGGGGAATTTTGGGGGAATTTTGGGAATTTTGTGGGGATTTTGGGGGAATTTTGGGAATTTCAGGGGAATTTGGGAATTTTAGGGAATTTTGGGGGAATTTTTGGGAATTTTAGGGAATTTTGTGGGAATTTTGTGAATTTTTGGGAATTTCAGGGGAATTTTGGGAATTTTAGGGAATTCATGGGGAATTTTAGGGAATTTTGTGGGAATTTTGTGGGAATTTTGGGGGAATTTCAGGGGAATTTTGGGAATTTCAGGGGAATTTGGGGAATTTCAGGGGAATTTGGGGAATTTTGTGGGAATTGTGGGAATTTTGGGAATTCTGTCTCCTCACCTTTTTCCCGGAGCGCTGGGCGAGGCCTCCCTGGAAACCAAAAACAAAATTGGGAATTTTTCTGCTCAGGGAAGGGAATTTTCCCCTCCCCCACCCCCAAATTCCCAATTTTTTGGGATTTCCCCCCTTACTTGGCCGGGGGGTCCCCGGGGGCTTTCCCAGGCTCCTCCTCCAGCGGCTCCCTGGAAAATTCCGGAATTTGGGAAGCTCCCAGAAATCTGGGAACTCCCCAGAGATCCCAAAATTCCCCAAAAAAACCCCAAAAATTCCCAAAATTCCACCCAGGGAGGGTCCTGGGGATCCCAAAGTTCCCTTTGGAAATCCCCAGAAATCCCCCAAAATCCCAAAAATTCCAAATAAACTCCCAAAATTCCCATTAAAACCCCTCAAAATTCCCATCCCAAAATCCCAAAAATTCCAAATAAACTCCCAAAATTCCCATTAAAACCCCTCAAAATTCCCATAAACTCCCAAAATTCCCTCTAAAACCCCTCAAAATTCCCATTTTTGATCCCAAAATCCCAAAAATTCCAAATAAACTCCCAAAATTCCCACTGAAACCCCTCAAAATTCCCATTTTCCATCCCAGAATTCCCAAAATTCCCGGATTTCTGTCCCAAACTCCCTCTAAAACCCCTCAAAATTCCCATTTTTGATCCCAGAATTCCCAAATTCCCAAATTCCTACCCAAATTCCCATTAAAACCCCTCAAAATTCCCATTTTGGATCCCAGAATTCCCCAAATTCCCAAATTCTTCCCAATATTCCAATTAAAACCCCCGAATTCCCATTTTGGATCCCAAAATTCCCAGATTTCTGCCCCAAATTCCCTCTAAAACCCCTCAAAATTCCCATTTTTGATCCCAGAATTCCCCAAATTCCCGGATTCCTGCCCCAAATTCCCACTAAAATCCCTTAAAATTCCCAAATTCCTCCCAAAATTCCAATTAAAACCCCTCAAAATTCCCATTTCCATCCCAGAATTCCCCAAATTCCCGGATTTCTGCCCCAAATTCCCTCTCAAACCCCTCAAAATTCCCATTTTGATCCCAAAATTCCCAAATTCCTCCCAAAATTCCAATTAAAACCCCCAAATTCCCTTTAAAACCCCTCAAAATTCCCATTTTCCATCCCAAAATTCCTCAAATTCCCGGATTTCTGCCCCAAATTCCAATTAAAACCCCTCAAAATTCCCATTTTGGATCCCAGAATTCCCAAAATTCCCAGATTCCTGTCCCAAATTCCCTCTCAAACCCCTCAAAATTCCCATTTTCCATCCCAGAATTCCCAAATTCCTCCCAAAATTCCAATTAAAAACCCTCAAAATTCCCATTTTCCATCCCAGAATTCCCAAATTCCCAGATTCCTGTCCCAAACCCCTCCAGATTCCCGTTTGGATCCCAGAACTCCGGGAATTCCGGGATTCCCGCCCCAAACTCCCTCTAAAACCCCTCAAAATTCCCAAATTCCTCCCAAAATTCCAATTAAAACCCCCAAATTCCCTCTAAAACCCCTCAAAATTCCCATTTTGATCCCAGAATTCCCCAAATTCCTGCCCCAAATTCCCTCTAAAACCCCTCAAGATTCCAATTTTGGATCCCAGAATTCCCAAAATTCCCGGATTTCTGCCCCAAATTCCCTCTAAAACCCCTCAAAATTCCCATTTTTGAACCCAAAATTCCAAAAATTCCCTGATTCCTGTCCCAAATTCCCTTTAAAACCCCTCAAAATTCCCGTTTGGATCCCAGAATTCCCGGATTTCTGCCCCAAATTCCCTCTAAAACCCCTCAAAATTCCCATTTTCAATCCCAGAATTCCCAAATTCCCGGATTTCTGCCCCAAACCCCTCAAAAATCCCATTTTGGATCCCAAAATTCCCGGATTTCTGCCCCAAATTCCAATTAAAACCCCTCAAAATTCCCATTTTGGATCCCAGAGTTCCCCAAATTCCCGGATTCCTGTCTCAAACCCCTCCAGATTCCCATTTTGGATCCCAGAATTCCCGGATTCCTATCCCAAACCCCTCCAGATTCCCATTTTGGATCCCAGAATTCCGGGAATTCCGGGATTCCCGCCCGGCTCCCACCTGGGCCCGCGCTGCAGGAGCTGCTCCAGGACGGCGTCGAGACGTCG